CGTCAAAACCACAATTGGATCCGCGCGAACTTCACGGGATCCGACAGCGGTTATCTCACGCGCGCCTGCTCGAGACTTCGAGCCGTCGCTCCGGGTCCAAGAGGAAAACACTTTCGTCCTGGGGATGTAGACTTAAGTCGGGCGTGTCCCTCTACAGGGGGATTTTTGGCGAAAAATGCAAAAAGATTTAAAACAGATTGAGAAATGCACGAAAATAGTCAAAAAATCGTCCCCAGACTACTTTTTAACCATTTTGGAATATCCCTCCTGTAGAGGGACAGGCCCGCCTTAAATGTAGATTGTGGCAAGAAGTGCACAGGCCGACGGCCTTCGAAACTGCTCTCGAAATGCCTCCCTGCCAGAGGCAGCAAGACAGCGAGGGAGGTGCGCAGGCGGTGTCCCGCATGTGGCCTCTGCGTGCACGCAGGACGACTCTTTCTCGCGGGGTCACACGCGAATAAGCGTGAAGCCTGCGAGCAAAAACGAGAAGTCCGCTGTATGCCAGAGGACATACAGGCCATTCCGAAACAGGTCGAGGAAGAGAGCAGTGAGGCGGGTACCGAAAATTTGACTACAGCCCGCCCGAGAGTTTTTGGTAGGAACGTCTACATGATTTGGTGCTGATCCTGTTAGCTCGCGCACGTGCCGTTCGCATCACGACCCAAGTGGAAAGAGATCGCGAAGCAGATCCGCAACCCCGAGGAGCAAAGGCCGATGCTGCACTATGCAGCGCTCTACCGCTCAGGCCGAAGCGGCGGCCCGCCCGAGCAGTGGGCTATAGGCAGCGTTTGGAGCAGATTGGGAGCCGGTAGTCCAAAGACGCACTCCTGCAACGAACGACGTGCATCCGCAGCGCGAGCAGGCCCAGGAATCTTCAGGGAGGCCTGCCGCTCCAAGGAGGCACAGGCGAGGCCCCCGTTCATCGCATCCGGGGGAGGCAGGGGGAGTGGGAACCCCGAGACCCATCCAACCTGGAGGGGGGGAGGGCCTATCGGGCTGGGCGAAAGGGGGGATAGCAAAGGGGGGGGGTGAGAATCAGCTCACGTAGCTAATTTTCCCAGCGCCTCCCGCCGCCGGAGGCGGCCGTGTATCGAGGAATGGGCCCCTCGGTGGGGCCGAAACCAGCTGCATGCAGCAGATTTCGTAACCCTCACTTTCCCAATCCCCCCCCCCTTCGTCCGGCCCGAGCCTAATAAGGAACCGAACCCTGGAGCATATCCCCGACGCGAGGCTGCCCCGTGGAGATCCAGTACATGAGAACCGTCGCGCCCCAAGCGGTACAGGCAGCGGTCCCCCTGCACGGCCAAAGGGCAGAGGCTAGATCGGATCGCGCCGAGCACAGAAAGCACCGCGGAACAGTTCAAGCCGGCACTGGGCTGCAAAAGTTCTGCATCTTCCGCCGTCGTCGACGACCGAGGATCGAGAGTCGAGGCCTGAAAGCGTTTGGGGGCGCTCTAGTGAGCATAGACGGGAGAACACGAACTGGCATTTCGAGACCGCCAAGAAGCCCCGAAGGCTCCCAAGACGCCCCCAAAGGTCTCCAAGAGGCCCCCAAAAGAGGTCCCCGGGAGGCCCCCAGGAGACCCCCAAGAGACCCCTCAGAGACTTCCAGGAGACCCCCAAAGACCCGCAGGAGACCCTGAGGCCCTCAGAGATCCCCAAGCCACCAGGAGGCCCCAAGAGGCCACCAAGAGGCCTATTCCTCCTCCTCCTCCTCCTCCTCCACCTCCTCCTCCCCCTCCTCCTCTTCCTCGTCCTGCTCTTTCCTCTCCTCCTCTCTCTTCCTCCCACACATATCCCCCCCGAGGTTTCCCACAACGACTGTGGGGCGCGTAGCCCAATAGCTTGGCAATACCTCAGCCCAAAAGTCTGGCCACGTGTGAGCTTGCAGATGGCAGTGGGCGGCGGTGGTTCGCGGAAGGCGTCTTTGATAAAACATAGGGGTTCAGGACAAGTGCCTACACTCGGCGGTGGACAAACCTCCCTTTAGTAGACCTCCCCTTAGTGAAAACGGCCTGGGACCGAAATCGACCGACCCGGACCCGCAAAAATGACGGCCGCGACGCCCCCTCGCGAACCGAAAACGGCCAATTCCTTGATCGACGTGTCAGGGTAGGAGGTCTGTCCACCCCCGATATACTCAATATGTATGCCATTTTCCCGAATCGCTCTCCGCACCACCACGTCTGGGACGCCGCGCCGCGCTGGGCCACGCCCAGCCTATGCCGGGCAGCCCTTCTCACTGCAGGCGCCGAAGTCCTGCGCTCCCGCGCCGACCCCCGGTCCTGCACGGAAGCAGACAGTCGGAGCAGAGCATAACGAATGAAGGGGCACAGACACACACACACACACACACACACACACACACACATACATAATACACAAATAGCAGGACTCTCCATATGTTCCCATATTTCCTGGGCTTTTGTCTTCCCCCCCACTTCCCATATCTTCCCACATCTTCCGGGAGATCGACGATGAATTGTGTCTGTGTGTTTTCCCTCCTGAAGGAAGGATAGCCGTATCAGAGCAGAACACAATGAAGGATCAGATGGGGGGCTAGCTGGACTGGAACAGCAGCTCACGGGAGCCAGCGGAAGCGATTCTCCAGAGGGAACCTGTGAAGCCGATTGTGAAGCACACGAGCTACTTACGCGTCAGTCCCTCCTCAACCCCGGCCACCTGAGATCGCCATACCAGGTGGTCAAAGTTATACGTTAGACTCGGCCGAGCTTCAATGTCTCGCCAGTCCGAAGGACAACTCTGGAGCAAATATACAAGTTCAGCACATCCACGCTTCTACGATCGACCAGGATATTGGAGACCTACCCCTCGTGTAAGTGGCTGGCACGGAGGAGAACGGATCCTGACGGAAACGGGCCCTGGACCCTGGGACCTCCTCCAGGCCCTGGCCGGAGGTGGCCCTGGCCGATGGTCCCCTCCCAGTGACTCCGGGAGCACCCCTCGCGAGGCCCAGAGGGCCCCAGGGGCGCTGAACTTGTGGGACAGGCTGGGAACACCCTGGGCCAGGGACACCTCTGGCAGCACCCCGACTTCCCCTTCCTGGTGAGGAAATGTCTCCCCCTTGGCGGCGCTCACAGGGGATGACGCGAGGGGCGCGGCCCTCGCAGCGGGGGTGCTTCTGAGAAGGCAGGCGGCGGCTTGGAAGCCCTCCCGGCCTCCGAGGAGCCGCCTTGGAAGCCTCCAGGCCACCCTGAGAAGGCCCCCGCCTCCTCAGAAGTGAAGGAGCCCTGGGACACACAAATAGAAATACACACACATGAAACATATTCTCCATAGCTTCACATATGTCCTGGGCTTCTGTCTTCCCTTTTTTTTGCTCTAGGGAATCGACGATCAATTGTGCCTGTGTGCTTCTTTTCCTCCTGACAGAAGCCCCACCCCCTCTCGCGCCACCCCCTCGGGGGCACCACCAACCCACCCGCGGGGCGCTTGCGGGGGAGCACCGGCAGTCCTTGGTCCACTCGTGCCTCGGCCGGCGGGGGGCTCTGCGGGGCCAGGCACGCGAGCTCCACGGCTCGCAGAGTTCGGCGGCGAGCGAGGTGAGGGAGGGAGAAGGAAGAGGCGGAGGCCTTCGAAGAGGAGGCGGCGGGGCTTCCCTCA